TGTCCGCGGGTCGGCGTGGAGAGGCCCTGGGCATCGCCCGGGCGCTGCCGTGCGGCGTCTGCGAGGCCCGGGGCTGCCGGCGGAGCGGGGCGCGGGGCCGGGTGTGATCGGGCCGGGGAGGGCGGGTGCGCGGTTCGGAGAGAAAGGGAACTCGTGAGATCAGCTATGCAAACATCGCTCGTCTCACTTGCAGTTTAACCCTGTTTTTCTTGCGTTCTCATCTCGGCGAGGGAATGTGTATATATGTTTACCTATAAAGTCTACCCTATGTAAAACCTATTCTCGCAGGATTTTAATGAAAACTTATGATTTGCCTTTTTAAAAGTAGCATTAAAAAAATTCCATTAAATTCAGTGAACTAATTAATTTCTGACATAATTCAGCAGCTCATTTCTTTCATATATTTATAAAGTCACTCATTTACAATCGGTGCCCATAAACATAAGTCTCTGTCAAACCACTCGATATTTGCATGCTGTTTTTTCAGCCTGTACTGGAACTTCTTATTTTGGCTTGGTTCTTCCAGATGATATTTATATACCGAATTCTCTAACAGTATGTATGTTTGAGGTGGTAATGAGTGACGAGGCAGGGTAGCTAGAACAGCTGAGATAGCAAAATCAGGCAAACCCACCATTTCTGATGCTGTTATCCTTATGTGCTTTGTTAGTGTATTACCATCAAGAGGCTCTCCTTTCGGTTACCTTGGTCATAGCTAGAAATAATAGTGTATTTCGGTATGGCTTGCTGTGAATTTTGATAGCAGGAGTGTTGAGCTAGAAGCCGATGTTATGTGCTACATACCTGTAAAGTTTCTCTAATGTTACGCTTGTTTCCCTTCTGTGACTTTCAGATACAGGAAGAGACAGAAATGTGGAAAATAAGGGAGTGGGAGAAGCAGACAGAAGAGACTTACTGGAAAAGGCAAAGCAGAATGCTGTCGGACACCTCCAGGTGGGTTTTAGTTGTGTGGAGGAGATAATTATCTTGACTTAATTGCTTAGTGTAACCCTTTTGTGTTATAATATTTTAAGAGTATTCTGTGATGACTATTTGTTTACAGTATATGAAGACTACATGGAGTACAGGTATATTTATTTTCTCCTTAATGGGTCCCTGGAAAGAGGCCAGACCTATGCTTCAGTCTGGCCTTTTGTCTAATCATGTAGATGGATGGTCTTCAACGTACAACATTAAGTAGGCCAGGCTCTCTGAAACAATGGGGATGGGAAGTACTTAAGTAATATGTCAGAATGTTGTGAGGGAAGTCTAATGTATTGCCATTTAGGTTAGCAGTGAACAAAACTGTTGTGGTGTGGGGTCCTGCACTATTATAATGCACCAGTATTGACTGCTGCTTGTGTGGTATCTGTTAAACCATTTGGACATACCTGAGGATCTCACAAGGTACCTGAAAACAAGCTGGGTTTGGGAGGAGGGTTGGGGTTTGGGGCAGGAGGAGGGGGAGCTTACGATGATGAAGACTTTTCAGAAGCGTGAATGTTGCAGGAAGTGGTTTTAGTGTCTCAGGGGAGAACACTTTTCAGACTGATGCTAAGTCCGTGGCTGCTGCTTGGCTCAGGAAGTGCGGTATTTCAAGTGACAAATATAACTGGAACCACAAGCATGTGAGATCACTCAAAACTGCTGGTGCTTTCTGTGGATTTGGGGTCTTAGTCTTGGTACCTGTTCAAATTGCAATTCTAGTAAGTCAGTTCTACGTCTTCAGTTTCCTCTTTGCTGCTTTTACTAGCCAGTGTTTCACTGCGTATTGTTAGTCTGCTCCTGCAGAGTATTCTAGAGGAAGAGAACTGCATCTGTTGGGATAGGCAAGATAACCCCTTCCTCTAATTTTGCACTGTAAGCATCTCTGTCAAGAATTTTGCTATGCACAGAGGGCTGTAGTAAGTTTTGAAAACCAGTGTTAGCTACTGAACTGGTTTTGTGAGAGCTGTTAATAGTGACTGTCTGTTAAAATGATAGCTGGTCTTCTTGCATAGATGGACATCCAAGACTTGCTGGATTTTTGCTCCTCTCGCTGGACTAACCCCTTGCTCAGAAAGTTTCTCCATCAGAACTGACAGCTGAAGGACAACTGTTCTCTTTCTGCAGCAGTCGGATGCGCAGTGATGGCTTTGATGAGGAGGGCCACAGGGCTGACTGGAAAACAAAGAACTCACAATTTCTTGACCTAGTCGAAGATGATCTCCTTAGGGCCCGATCCTGGAATAAAAAGCTGTATGAATGTGAAGCCAGCATGCCAGACAGGTCTGTGGAGGAATTAATGTTCTGTGGTTATAACTGTAATTAAAACACCTTTCTGGAGTCCTGTACCAAGAAGTTAATACACTTCTCTTCCCAGTACATATTCCTATAAAATAACACTTGGTCTCATCTTGAGAACAAGTAAGTAACGTGCACGAACTTTTGCAGTGTCACAGAATACCTAATTTGTGTCCATCTATTGAGTTCCTAAGTCACAGTAAGCAGCAAAAGCTCAGTCCTAACCTTAGCAACTAAGCTTAGTATTTATTATTTTGCCCGGGGAACTTGAAAAAATCTTGAGAAATGCAAGTTAGTGCTCTCCAGGGTTATTTTAAAGAATTTTGAGTTGTAGTTTTCTCCAATTAGAAATTAAAAGGAGACTGAGAACATAAGGTGTATTTAAATAGTACCAACCAAATATTTCCTTCCTTCCTTTGTTGGGAAGGTACTGATAGCCCTTCTTCTTTGCTATCTAAACATATGTTCATTCTGTGGCTCTGTCTTTTCAGAATTTTTCCCTTGAACACCTTCTCTGTTTCTAATAGATGGTTCTGCTTTCTTACAGATGGGGTCACAGTGGCTATAAAGAGTTGTACCCTGAAGAATTTGATACAGATAGGTAAGACGAGCAGGCTTACTATTGTATCCAGAAACTTACTTCTGTCAGGTTATGCAGGGAATTTAACAAACTGAGCTTGAAGTTTTAAGTATAGATCAGCCTTGAATGTAAAGCAGCACTGTTCAGTTATAAACATCCACTGAAAAAAAACGAGTCCATTAATGTGGTTCTCCCTTGTCTGACTCTTAGGAGGGAATTGCATCTTTTATAGTAATTAGACACGCAGCTTTAGCCTGAGTTACTAAAATGCTATGAATCTGGAAGGTCTGTCTAGGTCAACAGAGAGCCAGAGTAGTAGGCCGAATCCAAATCAGCTCAGTATACACCCTCTCAAATATCAGCACCAGGTTGTTTCCGATACAGTGTACCTGTATTTTCTGTGTTTCTCCTTATTTGCAGAATATAAATTCTTGCAGTATCCTGGAGAGTGGAGACTTAACTGTAAAATAAGATCTTAGAGAGAATTAATTATTTTTAAACTAGTCCTAACAGAATCATCAATTACGATATTTGTCAGGCTTACAGGTTTGAAGTAACCTGCTATAAATGAGTTTTCGCCACTCAGTGGCTTTCAGTACGCATTCCCCTTGGTTCTGGCTCAAATACCTTAAACAGAAGTATTAGTAAGGTGTGGACCCAAGCTGTTAATAAGTACTTGACTAAAAAATGCAGCTGCCATGTCTGTCAAAGCGTCTGCTTCCCTGCTTTAGCCAAATGAAGTAATGGGCTTGCTTAAAACTTTGAGACAGAAAAGGCTCAGCTGCTGTGTGCCTGCCTGTCTGCTTCCTTTTGGTCATCCTTTATTCTTTTTACAGTGACCAGCAAGAAGGAAATGAACAAACTGCTGTCAATGGGAAGAAGAAATCTCACATGGGAAAGCAAACTGCCCGTGAGTCGCACAAACGGAAAAAAACAAAGAAATCACACAAGAAGAAGCAAAAAAAGCGATCACACAAAAAGCGAAAGAAAAAGAAAAAGGAGCAGGGGAGAACATCATCAGATTCTTCCCAGGAGAGCGAGTGCTCAGAAGAGGAGACTTCAAGCACCCGGAAAGGGAAACACAAGCGCAAGAAAAAGACCAGGAAAGTGCCTGCCAGGGAACCTACCTCTTCTTCTGGGCAGGAAAGTGACTTTTCTCATGCAAGCAGCTCAACCACCAGCAGCTCTGAGGACAGTGAATCTGAGGAGAAAAAAGAGAAACGGCCCCCAAAAAAGAGAAGGAAACGTCACAATTCTACGTCAGAGAGGCACAGTGAAGTACCAGAGAAGAAAAGCAAGAGGAAGAACTGGAAAGTGGCTGCTGATGAAAAATCAGAGGATAGCTCAGATGAGGACTGATCGGTCTGCAGCTCAAACAATAAGGTAGAGGACAGAGGCAGGTATTTGTCTTTCAGCACTGCTCCATGGTACAACTTGTTCCAACACTGTGGTTTATATATCCTGCCAGCCCACAGGGGAGAAACTGCGCCTTGGCAGCCTGCAGCAGGTGCCCCCTTGCTTTTCATTGACTTGACATTCAGAAAACCAGGGGAGCAGTTGCCTGTCTCACAGGTTGGGTATTCCCACCAACTTTTTCCATGACCAGGTTGTCCTCTGGTGCACGAAAATGTTACAGGCTATCTACAGGGGAAAACAGGCATGTTTGCGCCATATTTTTTTTTTTTTAACTAAGTTTATTAACACATTGCTTTTTGGGGCTACCAAATCAATGACCAAGACCTGCAATAGGAGAAGGGAGAGAAAAAAAGTCTGATAGCAGAGGAAATGTCACTGGATGTAACCCTACAGTGGCTTTGTCTTCCCATCCTCCAACAAAAGCAGACCTGTGTGGCAGCATGCACACGGTCAGCTGGACACAGAAGGGAGCATGAGGGAATACTCTCATTCCAGCTGGAGGTGCAGTGACTCCTTCCATAGTGATGAAGAAAAGACACCAGTGCATTTGCTTGTTTTAGACTTCTCTCCAAATCCTGGCATGGGCTGGCCATTGTGTCTACCTTTCCTTTGTTCTCTCTAGGGGGATGCTGCAACCATTTGTGCTGACAGAGAAGCCTCGGTGGGTGTTGTGTTCTGTCTCTGGTCTGCCCAATGTATTATTGGAGATACTGGTACTGGGCCGTTCTCCCTGCAGTTGAACAGCCAAGCCTTTTAACAAAATAAATAAGTCCAGACACGTTTGATGCTTTTGTCATTGTTTTGGAGTAAAGCCCGGGGACAGAGCACAGGCCTGAGAAGTGTAGGTGGTCCTTGTGTCTCCCTGTGCCGTGTGTTTCTGCCTGATCAGACCGGGTGGCTGTGGAGGGCTTAGAGGAGATGAAATAAGGGAGACTGGAGTGGGAAGTAGCCATCAGGGGAATGTACCGTGTTGAAGAGATTGTTGTGTGTCAGTGACCATGCACAGCTCCACCTTTAGTCTACATCTGAAAAGTACAAAAGTGTCAATTCCAAGTCCTGCTTACTGTCTCTCTTTTCACTTCAAGTGCACTCGTTGGCTAGATAATGCCAGAGCCTTGGGAAAGCAGTGCTGCAGACTCAGCTTGCTTTCAGCTGCTTGCTCTTATTAGAGCCCCTTCACTGCTGGTCAGTCATGCAATAACAATGCAACTGCTTACGTACATTGCAGGAAATGTTCAAGAAGGTGTTTATTTTATATAGCTTCCCTCATACAGAGACTTTTTATGAACAAACGTGCAGGCGAGGCACGCCCAGATCCGCTGTGGCCATTGCTGTGGATTTGAAGATCCAAAGACCTCCGAAGCAGCGCTCCCACCGTCCTGAGACGCTTTCGCGCACCGACTGCGGGCTTGGGGCGGCCCGTCTGGGCCTCTCCCAACGGAGGGGGGACCGTTTCTCCCTCCCGCCCCGCAGCAGAACCGGAAGGCCGCGCCACCGCCCGCCAGCCCGGAAGCGGAAGGGGCTGGGGGGGCACGGGCTTCCCGTTCCGGGGCCGCGGGCCCCTT